TTTTACATAAGCGATTTTAACTCAAAAATCCACCTCTAAGTGAATAAATTACATCCAATTGAGTATGTTTTCTGATAAACAACAATATAAGGAATCAAAACCCTAAATTTTTAACACATTATTTCTTATATATCATGAAAACAAAATCAAAAGGCGGAAAAAAAAAAAAAAAACAGCGGAATTTTGGTTCCGCAGACATCTCAGTGTTCATCTCAAATTTTATGCTGTAATTAACCAGATTACGTAAAATTGAAAATTTTAAATCATACTAGACACAAAAAAGATTAAAAACCCTAATTATTGAACTCATTATGTTCAAAATATGCCGTGAAATAAATCAAATGGCAGAAAAAAAAAAAACCCAAACTTCTTACCTGATTTTGTGAACCGAAGCCTTCAATCTCCAAAAAACTCTGTTTTTCTCAACGATTATCACAAATTAGTAACAAAAAGTTTTGATTCACAGCTTTACGATCAAAATGCCTACAAATTTTGAAAGATTCATGCCCTATTTGGCATGAAACTTTCAGAAAAGGCGGAAACCCTAAAAAAGCAAGTTTCGTGATCCAAAAACACCAAATTTTTCAACCATTTAATCTTTGAAAAAGCTGTTTACAGCCTGCAAATTAGATCACATGCCAAAAAAACAAGAAAAATGATCAAAAAATGAAAAATTTCAAAGAATCCCGTGAAGAACACTGTGCAACCCCTGTTCTTCACGGACTCGCCGATTTCGCACGGTTCTCTCTAGAACCTGACGATTTCCGATTTTTTAGCCGATACAATCCCCTTTTTGCGATTTCCGAGTCGAACCGGACTCGGCATTTTTTAAAACACTGCTCTAGACTATTAGATGGGAAATTAGGAAGTTATGTACTTCACCTGGCTCAAAGTCTAAAAAGCATTTATTGAGACCCCAAATTATTGTTTTTCTTCGATGGTAGCGGTTAATTTGACTTTTTTGTATTAAAAGTAAATAGTCTTATATTAATACAATCCCACAGCTAAAACGCCACATTTCTTAATTTCTTGTGAGCTTGCAAATTCCCCCCACACCCCTTCCCTCCCTCTCTCACCTGTCTAATGTGCGTGTCTATATGCATTGGATAGTCCAGTATACACTCATTGAGTTGCAAAAGTGCAAGGGATTTGAGACCTATGCCATGTTTTGTAATTTTGTTTTTTATTTGGGGTAGATTTTGTCCATTCAGCTTTCTGCCTGTTATAAATAAGTAAAGTGCCATACCACATTTTATTGCTATCATCATTCAAAGAAGAACTCTTAGCAAAAGAATAACTGTTTGCCTCAGTTACGAGGAATTTGGTATTAGATTTGTTGAACCAACCAGTTTTGGCCGGTTCTCTTATAGATTTAGCCGGTTTTATTAGATAACATGACATAACTGGCCCGACTTAATTTTTTTATTTTTGCTTTAATTTTTTCAAATTGCCGTTCCATTAAATCAAATCGAAAATCTAGATGGATGATCCAGGTCGCCGATCTAATTTTTGAAACCTTCGAAAATCTAGATGGGTGATCCAAGTCCCCGAACTAATTTAATTTTTGAAACCTTTGTTGAAATGAGTTAGTTGGGATATGAAGTGTTAGATACACGAGGCGGCATCTACTTATAAAAGCATATTGGGCTCCTTCCCATAATATAGGAATCGTTTTGATAAACAAATAGGCCAAAATGCTCCTTTTCTTTCAAGGACATTTAGGTCATTTTACTTTATTATAAATTATTCTTTTAGTTGCCCCTTTTAAGGAGTAGGTATGTAGTAAATTTCATGTCAAAATAACTTACACAAATAATAATAATAATATTGTGTTTGATATTTTCACTAAAGCTTTCAAGCTGTCCACTTAGATAGGATGATTGAGAATGGTAGTTTGCTTCATATGTGCGTGGTACCAGTTATATAGTGTTCCCAAACAAAATATGGGGTGATACATTTTTAAAATAATTAAATGTAAATAATTAATAATTATATATCATATAAAATTACAAAATATTTAGGAATATGCACGACTATGAAAATTTACTAAGAAAATAAAATTTAAAACTCCTTATTAAAGTTCTAAATTTCATAAGACTTGTTGGCACTCGGAATGGACATAATTGGATTTAGAACTTGTTTATACATGCTGTAAAATTGGATTTGAGTATTTTCTTTCTCACTAAGAAGAGTATGTGTTTTATTTTTTTCTTTTAGAAGTTAGATAGAAGAGTACATATTCTAATCATTGTGAAAGAGAGAAATATGATAGATTTTGCTCTTTTTATTTTTTTTTGACAAATGTTCAAAACTTTTATTGATGACTAAGTAAAAGAGATTACATCAGAGGAGATCTAAAGTGAAGGCAACGAAACACCTCCCTTAACCAAAGAGTCAGCTAGCGAGTTTGCTTCTCGATAAACATGAGAGAAGAAAAAAGAAAATGGTTCGACCAGATCCATTATTTTCAACCAAAGATTTTGCTCTATTTTTATTTATTTATTTGGCAATATGTTCGTAAACTTTTAGTTTATTCAACCTGAAGAATGAGGAGAACTTCAATTGCTCATCAATTTTCTTTTTTTAAAAAGCATTGATAAATAAGCTAAAAAGTCAGGATCCGGTTTCTATCCGATCAAGCCCGCATACGAAAAAATGTGAGCCTTTTAATAAATCTATTTTTGAGGTGAATTTTAGGACTTCATTTTTAAGAACAAATAATCTCTAACATGGAGATCATGAATATAAAAAAATAAATAATTTTTTATAATTAAAAATAATAGTTCTAGCCAGAAAACATTTGGACCGTTAATTTTCATTATTTTTAAGATGGAACACCGACTTGCATCTATCTTTAAGATGGATGCTTTAAACTTTTTGGACCACATATGTACAGACAGCATGAAATAATTTTCCAAAAAGTAATTACATAACAATTAAATGCATGGACGACGTGGTAGACTTTCTTAGAGGGTTTAAACTCACTTTATGAACTATGTTCAAATCCAGATCAGATCACTTTCATACTTTAAAGGGCAAACAAATCAAATTGATGTGTTTAAAGAAAAAAATAATCAAGTTATTGTGGCGACACAGTTTGTCTCACCACAAAACACTCCAATTAGGTTATCAAAATTCTCCTTTAAAGACAAAGGTTTTCTGAATAAGCCAAAATAGGAAACCCATATAATGATACTATTTACCCTTTGTATAAGGTGGTCACAATTATTCTTGACCTTTGGATGTGAAATTCAGTGGCTATATTTATTTCATTGACCAAACTCAAAGTTCAAAAGAATTTTTCTCGAACTTTGTGACACACCCAAGCTAGCAGATTTCACATGCGATGGTTGTAAGTAATTGAGACCTCCCTGTACCAAAAGTAAATGGTAGCATTGTATACAATCCCGCCAAAAGATCATTATATTACGTAATTTTTGTTTTTTAATAAAAACTTCCATCAATGTTTTGGCCCGAGGGTGGTTACTTGGGTGTGTCCTAATTGACTCATGCAGGTAGTATATATGGCCAAAAAGCCCTAAAAAAAAGAATCATTAAAATAAAAAAAATAAAAATAAATAAAAATGAACAAAAAAAAATAAAATTCCAAATGTGAAAAATATATATTACAAAGATTGATTTACAATTGGAGACATGTTAAAAGAATCCAAAAAAAAAAGAGAAAAATACAAAAATGGGGCATATGACGAGAAAAACTCACAAATCATCGACAAAAACACCCAACTTACATATTAAATACTTATATTTGATTCTACCTTTTGATATAATTTTATAAATTTTTGTTTTTGATTAACCCGAGTTTTACCTCAGTAGTCGGCTCCAAATGGACTTGCCCGAGTTTCGGAGCATGACTTTCATAAAAAGTTTTAAAGTTACCGTTATTATGTTATTTATGTCAATTTTGTGATTGAATATTTCTTCTTTTGAACAGAAACGAAAATAACAAGGTAATAATCTTTGTTTATTAGTTGATCACTAACATTGTGAACTGAAATTCTCCATTCTATATTGAAAATAAAAACAATTGATCATCCTTCCCTACATAATATAAAACCACGCAAAGACAGATGTTTATTTAGCCCTGTTTTTTAAATTCGAATCCGAACATATCATGTCTTTTCCAATGAATAATTTCATGGCACTCTATTTTATTTGACCTCTTCTTTTTTGGTTCCATTTGTTTTATTTAAATTAGAGATTGTATAGGAAAAAGTTTATATAAGGATGCAACCTTATAATGTAGAACTACGGATGCACCTCAAAAATCCATCGAAAACTGTAGTTTTAATGTTGAAAAGCCCTTTGATTGATCATCTTGACATTGAGATGAATGACCATGAAAAATAAAAAGATTTTAAGTCTCAAAAATAGTGTATTTTACAACATATTATCTACACCGTCCATTTTCAAGATTTTCATATGTTTATAGATGGACTTGATTTTAACCATTTTTTAAATTTAAAATTTTGTAATTAGATATAAAAATAGATTTTGAGATAATCTTAAAAATATTTTACATCAAAATTATATACCATGATAAAATTTGAAGGTGCACCTTACTTCTACAGCTATGGATGCATCCGAAACTGCACCCTTACTTTTAATACATGGAGGCTACAATTACTTGTAACTATCCCAAAATTCGAATTTTTTTTTTTTTAAGTTTGAATTGGGTTAATGGAATAAATGTAGCCATCCAATTTTACGTCCAATAGTCAAAATTAATTATGACTACCTTAAACCAAAGATAAATTATACTCACACCTCAAATTTACGCATAGATTGCTACACATGAATAGCTAAACAGGTTGTCACCTATCTTATTGTCACTAAGTTATTTTTTTAATTAGCTAACTCATGCGACATCTAGCCAAAGAGTTGGTTAAAAACCATTCACAAAGTGTTTATTCGATGGAAGAGACGTAATGATAATTGTGAGGAAACGAATTTAGACGAGCAATAATTATTAACAACAAATATAGAACTTGGTCCGCACGATAATCATAATCTTTCTGCATATTATTACATGTAAAAACTTTATAGAATCATGGTGATAGAACCTGAGTAAATGGGGTTGTGCTAAAATTGGAAGGCTATGAAAACTTCAAAATAGCTCATGGCAGACATACATACATAAACGTATAGCGATGCAGTAACATGTAAGAACAAGTAAAACTTGAAAAATGGTTTGTAAGGTTCACATCTCTGTTGGTTTGGTCCCTACCTTGGTGAAGGGTAGAACAGTGAGTCATCCTCAAATTCAATTGCATCACTTGAATTCATTGGCTGTGACCTTGATTGTCTTCTTGAATTTGTCTTGCCTAATCGGGCAAACTCTAGATCCCGGGATCCCTTCAATTCGTTCACAACCTCACTCATTGTAGGTCTCTTTATACCAATTTGTGGGGTGCATGCCATGGCTATCTCTGCAACTTTCCATACAGAATTCATATCATATCCCCCCTGCATCCTTGGGTCAACAACACTTTGGATGTCCCCCTTCACTAGATTGGGAGTTATCCATTGTACAATATGGATTCTTTCCCGAGTTTGCCCATCTATGATTATTGATGGTTGCCCTGATAAAATCTCTAGAAGAACTATCCCAAAGCTATAAACATCACTCTTCTCATTTAGCTTGTTGGTAATGTAGTACCTATCAGATGAGTGGATATTTTCAATCACAAAAGAAAAGAAAATAAATGGCAGGGAAAGTTATGAAAGGTAGTTGTCTTCAGTGGGTTGGTAAGAGAATGGGCTTGAGAAAAACATTACACAATGAGAGAGAATGGAGAAACTCAACATCACAAGGGACAAAATATAAAGAGAGGAAAAAGAAAAAAAGGGCTGCTGTAAATTAATGGATCAGCAACGTTTAGAAATTTGAAGTTTATGAGTGTTCAGTGACATACTCTGGGTCTACATATCCTGGTGTTCCAACAACTGCAGTTGATATGTGAGTATCTACCTCGTTTGGCCAAGCCTTTGATAGCCCAAAGTCTGCCAATTTGGCTTCCATTCTTTCACTTAAGAGGATGTTGGATGTCTTCACATCTCTATGAATTATTGGCGGTTTGCATCCGCAATGCAGATACTCCAATCCTATGATAGAAATCCGGTGATAAATTCATGGAACTAAAATAGATTGTTAAAAAAACTTGCAACCTTTCTATGCATACCTTGTGCAGCACCCAGAGCTATTTTAAGACGTTGCTCCCAGTTCATGATTCTTGAGCTATTCCCATCTGTAAAGAACAGAAAAACATTTTATATTGCCGGAAATTTTATTTCCCCTCAATATTGTTCACCCATTTTTTACTGAAACATTATTTTCAAACATCCATTAATTGGCTTTGCTTGGAATTCATCGTTGATTTTTCAACATCTTAATTGATATTGAAACTTTATGAAAGTTCAGGAACCATACTTGACAGAGTCTCTTGCAGATTTCCGTTGCTCATGTATTCATAGATGAGAATCATGTTGTTGCCATCCTCACAAAATCCTAAGAAGGTGGTTAGGTATTTATGGTGAACTCTCATCAACAATTCAATCTGCGAAACAATTTAAGGTTTCTCAATTTTCAGATTTCACAAACATCCAAACATTTGAAGACAATCATCTCTTCTATACTAACCTCTGCCATGAACTCCTTGAGTCCTTGGCGCGAACTGTCAGACCGTATTTTTACAGCGACTTGACGACCATCTTTGAGGCATCCATGAAAAACAGTCCCATATCCTCCTCTACCGATGGCATTCTGGAAGTTATTTGTTATACTTACGATCTCTGAGTATGTGAACGCTTGGGAACCGCTCATTGTAGATGAAGATCGTAGCTTTCCCTTGCCCACTGTTGCTGCTTCTGATAAGATGAGTACTAAGGAAGATGTAGTTTTGAGAACAGTCTACATATTGAGACAGGGCTATATAGATAAGTTCTCACAGTTTCGTGAGATACTTCATTTTAAAACTCCTTGTCAAGCTGAAAATTCTATTTGATATTTTGAAAAGATTATGATATGCATTTGACCTAAAGTCTTTCTCAAATTTGCAGTCAGTTATTTTCAAAAGCTTCATTTTGCTAAAAGAATATGCTTTGTTTTATGAAAAGACCAAAGTATTTGTCATTTCGGAAATAAGGTATGCCCTTTTGATGTTTCCATATTAGAAAGAACATGATGCCACTCCTTTCATTCCTCATGAATGAACCATTCAGAAAGACTAATTTAATGCTCTTATTCTGATAGGTAAGTACGCTTGTGTCAAGGATCCAAACCTATATGTAAGAGCCTCTAAAAGACTCAAACATTACGACATTAGCTCATTTGCTGGAGCTATTTACATTGTATATGGCAAGTTGAGCAAAGTTAGCCTAAACCTCTCTCTTGAAAACCTAGTTTCTCAAAATTATAATGCCACATAGCTAATTGATTTAGAGAAAGTTTACAATAGGGTACCTGGAAACTTAATTTGGTGGGTGCTGGACAAGAAAGGAGCTTCCAGAGGGTATATTGACATGGTGAGAGGTTTGTACGATGGGGCACTAACTTGTGTGAGGACTAGTGGATAGAGAAGTAAGTTCTCAGTACTAATAGGCCTACATCAGGGATCAGCAATGAACTCATATCTCTTTTGTCTTGGTTATATAAGTTACTAGACGTATACAAAATGAGGTACTATGGTGTATGCTGCTCACGAATGGCATAGTTTTGATTGATGAGACTAGAGGCGACATCAAAGCAAAGTTAGAACTTCTGAGGGAAGCTCTAGAATCTAAAGATTTTAAAGTTAGCCAATCTAAGAATGCAAGGAGTGCAAGTTGAGTAATAATAGGAGTAAAAATGACGAAGTAGTTATGATTAATGGCCAAGAAATAGCGAAAAGAGATTTTCCATATCTGAGGTCAATAATCTAGGAGAATGGAGAAATCGAGGAAGATGTCGCGCGTAGCATTAAAGTTAGGTGGGTGTAGTGGAGAGGTGCATCCGAAGTTTTTATATGATCGTTGTATGCCAGTGAAATTGAAGTGGAGGTTTTACCGGACAATGGTAAGACCAGCCATGCTCTATGGGACGAAATGTTGGGCAGTCTAGAAACAACATACCTACAAGATGAGTGTAGTTGAGATGAAGATGTTGAGATTGATGAGTGGCATGGCAAGAAAGGATAGAAATTCGGTATGAATACATTTGAGGGAATTTACGTGTGGCTTCAATAGGCTATAAGATGAGGGAAAGTATGTTTAGGTGGGTTAGGCATGTGATATGTAAGCTTAATACAGAACCTATTAGATGGTGCAAGTTGGTTCAACTAGAAGGCTCTAGAAGGGCAATGGGAAGGCCTAAAAAGGCATGAATGGAAGTAGTGAGAAAAGATATTGCGACTTATGGTATTCTTGAGAGTGTGACCCTTGATAGAGTAGAATGACAGAACAAGATTCGTGTAGCCGACCCCAAATAGTTGGGATAAGGCTCAAATGATGATACCACATAGCTAATTGATATGTAAAAAATGGTCTCTTATACTATTTTCAAACGCCTATTATGCAAAAGCGCCCCATATTCCTAACTTGAACACTGTGCCTCATTGGATTTCTAGGGCAAGTTCCTTAATGGTGGAATGCCTCTGCTTAACATGTGGGGTCTAGGTTTTAAGTTTGAACTTGATGTCTAGTTGGAGTCCCACAAGCTTGATATTTTCCTTTAATATGGGGAGCGAAGAAGATAGAAAGGAAAAATATAGTAAAGGTACCTCTGTTATTTTGCAAATAGGTATTGTATTAATTTATTTCCCGAAAAGAACTAATAATGTAGAGAATTTGGCTTGAGCCGATCAGCTAAATATTGTTAACATCCAATTGATTAGGTCCTAGCTACTTGATGTATTGACGTGCTCTATTTTCTTGGCGAAGCCTTTGACAAATCACACTCTAGCCACTAAACCAGGAGGCAACCCTGTATATGCCGATTCTGCCTTCTGTTAATGAGTATTTCATTTATATTAATTAAAATTCCAAGCACTTAAAAAAGGAATCAGGAATTGCAAATGCACTTTGTTGTAAGTTCGATGGGTGTAATGTACCTATTTTGTGGACGACCTAGGATTGAAAAAAAGTAATTTTGATTAATCAGCTTGAACTTTCATGGAGTTGATTACATAGGAAAACTAGTGTTAGCTTGGTTTTGAGGCTGCAATATTCGACCTGAAATTTTGGGATGAAAATAGAACCATGTGAGCTAATGCATTTGACACCAATGGACATTTGATATTGTGGTTCCAACTGCAATTTGTCAATTTCTTTAACTGGCCTTTCTTGACATAATGAAGACATTTTGTACATTTCAAAGCTATAAGTTGAGGTGCTCTTTTAGATGATTCGTCACACATTTCAGAGGCACTGAATGGATTAACTGTATGCATTATGTACAAATCCTCTGGAAACTAGGGGATATGGGAAATGATTCCACTTTAGTAAAAGGACTGAATAAAACCCTGGCAAGTGGTCACTGGTGCATCCAAATTTTGGTTCCGAAATATGCAACTGTGTGGATCATGATGCGGACCATAGTACCAAACTTATGATGCTGACCATAGCATTGAAGTGTTGGTTGCGACTATAATCTGATTATGGTTTCATTATTATACCTGTTAGACTCTATATATTTTCCTTGTGCCTCTTTTACATGGCACCATGCAAGTCATCTTTTCCTTTCCTCAATTTTAAGGTCAATTCTTTCCATGTAAAGTTGAAAACCGGATGTTGTTTTATTTATGTACCTCACATTAGGCTACAATGCATTATGAGGAAATACAACACAAATGTTGGTGCTTCCATTCTAGAAACATATCCTGTTCCCTTAACATGTAGTAGACCAGGCTTTTAGATTAATTTCAACCCTTGTCACTCGAGCCAAAATGGTCATACAACAAGGTGCTGTTCTTTCTAAGGTAGGCACGTCCCACCATCTCTAGAAAGTTCAGAAAATCTATTAAATCTCATGATAAAGTAGCAATTCCATTATTAAGGAGATCGAGTCTAAGTTGATGTAGTTAATGGTTTGCAAAGAAGTAGAAGAATCCAGAAGAATCGGTGTTAGTAAGGGTACAAATACTTGTCCTACTGCTGTAAGTCATCAAAACAGAAGAAATAGTCATGAACATTATTATTCAGGTGTATTTATTTTTATGCTATTTATTCAAAGGTAATTATGTAGTTTGTGTACCCCTGTCAGTTCTCTGTGTATGTGTAGTCCTTAAAACTTGTTGAGTCGGTTTTGCCAAGTCAACTCGAATCCGCAACTCAACAAGTCTCGTGCTTTATCATGAGACTCAATTGAATCTTCCATTATATATTGTTAAACAAAGAAAATCGGTCAAGTTGACTGACCATGAGTCGAATTATCTTGCGACTAGGTCAAGTCCTGAGCTGATTCTTATTTTCAACCTTTTTGTGTGTGTGTGTTCACGTGGAAGATTAATCCTTTATTTTAATTAATGAAACTTTTGCAAACCATCTCTGAATCTAACAAGATTGATCGGCCAAAAGCTTGAGGAAATATTTGACTAGCTTCAGGTAAGATTGCTTTTTGTCAAAAATCTTCCAGCTTTTTAGTCATTTGGGATGGTGTTTGGTATGCCTCTGTGAAGGCAATGGGTTCTTGTTTAACATACAAATGGAAGTTGTGGACTATCCCTA